CGTTTTCAAGCAGCGAACTTGTTTGGTGGATCAAAGTCGTAATTAAACGTCATCGAACGACTGAGCAAGGTAGCTACCATGACCGGTTTTGCTCGATAGCACTACCCTAGTACAACTTGCCCCAAGTCTTTGTATTTTTGAGGGGCTTCATCACTGTCATTAATTCCACATTCTTGCTCTATCACTACTTGTTTGAGTTATGTCGGGTGGACGCATGTAATGTCAGATTATTGAATTAACGCTATAAGAGACTAAATGCAGCCTACATTACCCGCCGACATTTGAAATTATGTGTAAAGGGTTTGGGCCTTATCAGAAACAAAGATTGTATTCGGAACATACATACGTACTTACATACATATACATACATACATACATACATTTATGCAGACCTTCTGCTTTAAATACATAGGAGAGAAATGTGCTCTGTATTTCCCTCTAAAGTCTTTGTTCGGCCAACACAGGTTTTCGTGAGATTTCTCGCATGAGTAGCAGAATCATAAAATTTTACCTATGGCGTTAAAAAGTGCTGTTTGTAGACGATTTTCCCTTAATGATGGCAAATGATTCGCCGCGATTAGCGAGAAAATCGCCGTAATTGTTTAAGTCAGCTTCCCCTCCTAGGTCACTCCGCCTGCTTAGTGATTTTCTCCTGAACACCGCCCGTGTTTGGCTTCTCCCAAAAGCAGCGCTCTCTTGTGAGAAAGGAATGCGATCGATCGGGACCAATAAGATTTGAAATCACTCCCCGCCACTCACCCTGTCGAAAAGTGCCCCGAGTCACTGTTCTTCGACAATTTTACGATAACAAAAATTGCTATTCGTGTTCATCATACTGAAGTGGTCCAGAAAAGTTCAAAAATCCTTGAGAAATTTACTCAAAAATTTACTGCCTCTAAGGTCTCGGAACCAAAGTTTTTCAAATGAAGGTTTCTAAGATTGGGAGTACAGAAAGCTTTCTCCTAATAACGCTAAAGCCTCGCTCTTATCTGACAAATGATTTATTGATTTTTTGTGGCTTTTATTGTTTTTTTAGGTTGGGGAGGATGGGGTGGCGGTTACCGCAGATACGGAGGCTTTGGGTGATTTCGTAGTAATTAACATTTTCAAATTTTCATTTGTAGATCTTCTTGAGAACAAGAGATTTTTCTTGGGAGCTTAAGCTCAGAGAAAAAATACACATTAAGCAGTTAAAGTACAAGTTAAGAAATTCAGATTCCGACCGGGCTATGGACTTGGCTCGTTACAGAGAGGTCACTCTTTTCGAAACGCTCTTCTCGGAGGAGCTCTTGGAGCCATTGGAGGTAGGTTTTGTTTTTTTATTGGAATGTTTTTGAACGCCTATAAAAATTCATCATTTCTAGGCATGTTTGCCTACGACGCAGGCAGATATTTAATACAATCGATGGGAAGGCCATTTCACTATCATGGAAGGGATTATTATTGGGATGAACCTCGAAATTACCGTGAAGATCAGATTATATGCTCAATATCGATCGATGAATTGAAAAATGTGAGGTATAGCTGAGCAGAGACTCAATAGAAAAGTTCTCACATAAACCCGCCTCAAAGTTGTTGGAAATTTGAGGAAATTGATTTTCGGATTTTATAATGCGATTTTTCTAAGTGCTGTTCAAACCACTATGATCTTATTGGTTCAGTAGTCACTGTTGACTGGGAGTATGCTTTCTCGGCACCTTCCTATTTATGAAATCCGAAGAATTTGTTAATCGCTTCATCTTTACCTGAGTGGTTGATTGACATGCTACTATATTCGGTATCTATTCGCTTACAGTAACCAGTGGAGCAAATTGGACGATTAAAGATCACACTCAGATTGCTCAGCTAATTGCTTCGGGCAGCTATAATTGGACATTGTAGCAGAGCCTTTTACAGCGGAAATATTTTGTGGTCAAGACAGTCAAATGAACCTCATAAACCAACTTTCAAACAAATTTGTGATATTATTCCCTCATCCGTCTACGTAACCTCACGCTAAGCTAGGATTCGTACAAAATCAGTCAATTTTTCCAATTAACCAAATAGCCGTATTGAATGAAGCTTTAGCATTCAGTACTACAACACATACTTTCCATAATAGAAATTGAGTTATTCGACAATTTTTGTGCTCCTCTCTTTTATTGCCTCATAGGCCCATTGAAATTCCTGCAACGTTAAATCTCTTTTCCAAAAGAACTCACCGCGCTGCCAATTTAGAATTCTTGTCTTTATAGGAAGATCGAACAAGTTTTAGACAACCCATTAAAGTGCCCCATGATGGCCCTCTTCAAATATTGATTCCAATGAGCAAATAAAGCGCTAAACGCCAACACATGCCTAAGAAATTTAAATATAGTTGTATGCCATGCTTGTTCAGGCTAAAATTCCCATCAATTTAGGCGCAGGATCATTAGCAGAGGGAAGCGTAAAGTTGAGCCGATCAGAGCTCCGGAATCACAT